GGATTTGAACTCAGGTCCTCCTGACTCCAGGGCCAGTGTTCTATCCACTGTGCCACCTACCTGCCCCCTTCCCAGATATTTCCTAGGTATTTCTTTACACAACTGTCTTTTACCTTGAGTATTCTTTCTCTAGGCCTATTAAAATCCAAGGACCACTTCCTCCAGAAAAATCTTCCTAATTGATCCAACTCATGCTAATCTCCCTCCACTGAGCTCTTACAGACTCATATTGTCTACACTGGGTAATATAGCCCTGAATCACACATTCTCATATGTATTCTATAACTCACATGTAAGCCTTCTCTTGCTCTAAGAATATGAGTTCTCTGTGAGGATAATGTCATCTTTCCTGAACTTTGGAAGTGATCAAGGTGTCAAGTTGAATTGTTCTGATTTTGAAGGTGATAGGGGGAAAATTATATATGATAGTTCCCTCTTTTGAACAGGAGGAGAAGCTAGTTGAATTATTCTATTAGGATATGAGTGGAATACCACTGGTCTACCATGCTATTAGGAGGGAGTAAGCCTGAAATTGGAAGAATGTGCCAATGGGCTTGATCCAGAGAGCCCAGGTGTATGAATAACATTTTTGGTCTGAAAACATGAGTGGAATTCCACTAAGATAAGGTGGGGTTCCTGTTATAAAAAGGGCCATGGGCCATATAAACCGAAGATCTCCCATTAAGAATTAGGTTAGGGGGCAGCTAGGTGGCACAGTGGATAGAGCACTGGCCCTGAAGTCAGGAGGACCTGAGTTCAGATCTGACCTTAGACATATAACACTCACTAGCTGTGTGATTCTGGGCAAGTCACTTAACCCCAATTGCCCTCACCAAAAAAAAAAAAAAAAAATCAGGTTAGAAAGTCTAGACATAATGATAAGCTAGATTTCTTCTAATGAGTTTCCTCATAATGAGTTATGTCTGATTTTGCATACAAAAACAACGTATATTTATATGTAACCTTAGCATCCATTTAACCTGAAGGCTTCACCCTAGATCAAGGGATTGTTTGGGTCAGCATCTAGCAAGAACCATGGCTCACAGGCCCCTGTCTGGAATCGAGAGATGGAGTGTCTTGTTCAAGGAACAACAGGGAGGCCAATGTCACTGATCTGAAGAAAATATGATGAGCTATAAGGTGTAAGAAGATTGGAAAAATGGAGGGAGGCAGGATATTTTGGTTACAAGTAAGGAAAAATTGTCTAGGAATAAGCAGGAAGTTACTTAGTGCCCCTGAAATTGTAGATTACCTGTAAGTGGAAGAGGGTACATAACTGCTGGAAATAAATGCTGTTTGATGCCAGGAATATTAACAGTTTCTCTTGAATAATTAACCAAAAGTCAGAGGCAGGGGGCTGGACTAAATGACCTTTTGGAGAGCAGAACCTAAATCTATGCAAAAAAAGAGTCACTATCCAACAGAGTTAGGTCCCAGGGGCACTGTGAGTCAGTCTCCCTTAGTCCTTCTACCTTAGGTGGGTGGAGTGGAGAAAGTGTAGGGAAGATAGAAGGAAATAGAGATGACTTTTTAGAGTCCTCTTTAATCTTATTTGAGTAGTCCAACATAGGAAGTGGCCTCTCCAAAGTAAAGACCGTCTCTCCCTGTGTTTTTCACTTTCCTTCAAGTTCTTCCCATGCAGGTACTCTAGGCCAGGGCTTCTTAAACGTTTTCCACTGGAAACCTCTTCAGCCCTTCTTAAACCCCATATGGGGTCTAGGCCAGTCTCTTCTGAGCCAACAAATGAAAGAGAGAGGGGTTTTCTAAGCACCTCAGAATGTTAATGACTTATTGTCCCCAGGGACAGATCCAAGTCCCCTCCCCCCACACACGCACACAGGATAGGGGATAGGAAGGGAGAAGTTAATGGGAGCTTCCTCTCCCCTGCCAAGAGCAGGGAGAGGTCAAGACAGGGATGAATGAGAAAGGGGCTTGGCTCCTTAGGGCAGACTGAATCAGAGCAAAAAGATGAAAGAACAACTCCGAACCTCTGTAGATTTGACCCACTGAGTTTGGTATCTCCTTTTGCTTGATCTGAGCTTTCTATTAATTCCCTACCAAAGCCTAGTTTATAATTCCTAGTGTTTGGGGGGGATGGGGAGGAGGTATGTATGAGAAAATTAAGAGAAGGTCCTCCTCAAGGAGGCCAAGAAGTTTGAGGCTAAGAACCCTGAGAATTGGAAAGCAGCTGAGGGGATGGGGCAGGCAGGTAAGGAGAGCAGTGAGATATGTAAATTAAAACCACTGTGCAAATGTAAGGATTTTTAGGGCACTTGTCTTACAAAACAAGATGCCGAAAGAAAGAGACTGTATAGAAAAGGACAGACACGAGCACCTGGCCTGCAGACAAAGCCCACAGGCAGTCACATATAGGTAGAATAACACAAAATCTCTGAATCTCAGAGCTGGTGGGGAACTCAGGGGTCATCTAATCAAAATCTAGAATAAGGACCCCCCTCTCAAATATATCTAGCCAGTAATTATACAGCCTTTGCTCAAAGATCTCCTATGGCAGCCTATCCCATCTTGAGTAGTTCTACACAGTTACTCAAACAGGAAATCCCTTGATCTACTGGACTAGGGCACCTCCCATGCAGCTGGACTCTTTGTTCCATGGTGAGGGACCAATGGTGCCTGGGAAGAGAGTCTGGGAGTCAAATGAAGCAAGGTTGAAGCCAGCCTAGATGAAGCCGGTGGTGTGAAGCACTCACCTATCAGGATAGGGAGGCAAGAACTCTGGAGGGAAAAGAGTTAATTCTTTCCAGTCATGGTCTATGATCCAAATGGAAAGCAGTTTACTCTCCATTTGGAATTTATTCCCTTCTAGAAACTGGAATATTCCCTTCTAGAAATTCTACCATCTTTCAAAGCCAGGCTCAGGTATTGGGGGTTTTCTCTGATTCTCCTCGGTACAGTAGTATATGATCTCTCCATCCCTAGCGCCATAATTCTCATTGAATGTATGAACAGTGCCTTGTTCATATTTTGAGATTCCATGATGTCAAGAGAGGCAGTGTGGGCATAGTACCCGGACTCTCACTGCACTGGACCTCTGTCTAAGATTACAAATTACAGAGAAGACACAGGTTTGCATCGATGGATCCAGTCCCTGTCTCTATACTTATTCTATGAAGTAAGTGGCATAGCTAGATCCTCTACCAATGCAAGTGGCAACCTCCTTCACAATTTAGTCAGTGGTCTCCATGAGCTGTTGTGGCAGAACAAAACCATCACTCAGTGATCTGCCCTCTGGTGATGAATGCATTTGAAATTAGCTAGGCTAGTCTTCCATAGATGACCATACAAATGGACACTGGGCTGTGCTCACAGTCTTCCCAACTTTGTGGGAGCTACCAGAGGTTTTGCTAATATAGGCTTCCAAACCCCAAACTTATCCCTGAGCCAAGACGAGACACTGCAGGAGGAAGGTCTTGCCCATCCACAGTAGGTACCAAATAAATATATGTGGAATAGAATAATTGCATATAGCCAGGATCGTGGCACAGCACTGGTTCTGGAGTGGGAGGATCTAGGTTTGAATCCTGCTTCTGACTTACCTTGAGCAAATCACTTAACTTTCCTGGTTCTCAGTTTCCTCATCTGTCAAATGGACTTAGAGGTGGAAAGGCCTTAGATGGCCTTTAAGGTCCCTTCCAGTTCTAGATTTATAATATTATGAGCTATGTTTGTGTTTTATCCTCCCTATTGGACCGTGAACTCCTTGTGGGCAGGACCCCAGTCTTTCTAAAGACCAAGCCTTATTCATATGCATTCTCCCCAACTCCAGGCAAAAGAAATCTGTACACAGCAGGTTCTCAGTGAAAGTGTTGAATGAATGAGGAGAGAAAGAAAAAGTGAGAGTACAGTAAGTCCTGCTAGCCAGATGGGATGGACACAAGCCAATTAGCATTTACTCAGCCCCAAACATTTCTGCTTTAGATACCTTGTTGCAAGGTTATGGATTTAACTCTGCAATGAATCTGCCCCTATAGACCAAAAGGCCTCATTGTTCAAACGTCATCTTGGAGCTGGGAACAAGGCACCAACACCCCAAAGATATTTTCATGGGGATGCACTGCCCTCTTCTGGAGTTTCTGAAGCATAGTGGTAAGACCTGAGGCAAAAATGTCCCTGAATTTTAGAGAGGAAGAGGAGAGAGTGAAAAATTATCCTAGGGAGTGATCTGTTGTCTTCTTCCAGTGCTGCTCCTAAGTGTCAAAAGGAGATTAGGGTGATCTGGGGGCCAGGATGGGGATGGGATAGCCAAGAACTCACTAATTACCTGTTCCAGTAGCCAATAGAGGACCCTGGGGAATAGCTGAGTAATTTCTGGACAGAGTGCCTCTCTTCAGGCCAACAGGTTGCTCTGGGGAAGGAAGACTGGATGGAGCTGAGACCCAGAGAGGGAAAGCCCAGCTCTGATTCCTTAGGCAACTCTAAGAGGCATAGGGGTATAGACCTTTTCTAGAGGAAAAAGAGACAGCACAGCCTGGAGTTCCAGACTCCTTCCAGGAGCAAAGAAGGAGGATTCACCCATCTGGGAAAATGCCACCCCCAAGTTCCTTCCAGCTATTAGGTTTCTGCCCTGATTCAAAGAGCCCCGGAACAGACATACCTGGTCCCTGCTACTTTGACCACCCTCCCCATCTCCATTGTCTGGTTCAGTTTAGAACAGATATAAAGTCAACAAACATAGAGGGGGGATAGGTGGGAAGAGAGGCAGTAGTTCCCAACTTAACCAGTACCCTGAGTAAGAGTTGGGAGAGGGGAATTGGATTATCCCTAGGGAAGAAAGGAAATCTGCAGAGAAAGGGGCAGGGGCTGATGACATTTACCAGAACACAACATCACTATTTGCACTGTAGGGCAATATACCAAAGTACACAAGGGACTGGGAAGAAAGGAAGAACTCTGGATTCCATCCCTACTGGCCTCCTCCAGAACAAGCTGTAGTGTAGGGTGGGGATGAAAGCAGCAAACCAGAGAAGGTCAGGTGCATTTTAAATAGTCATTTTTAATGAGAGCAGATTCCTACAGTAAACAGGGAAGGTACGAAGACCCCAACAAAAAGACAACGATTCTGTGAAGGAAAGGGAAAGGGGGCGGGATATAACTGGAGACCCCAGTAAGTGTTGAGTCATTGTTCCTGAGGGTTCTGTGATGTGTCTGCTCCTACCCTCTCAACCTCTACCCCACAACAGGCCACAGTGAAGCTGAAATACAGGCCCTGGGATCCCAAGACATTCAAAACTGGGGTCAGGAATTGGTCTGTAGGTTTTGGAATGCCACAGTCGAGGGAGGGCACAGGTGTCTCCTGTCCGAAGGTTCTGTAAGGGAAGGAGCAAGGAAATTGAGCTGAGTAAAGATGGGAAGACCCACGTGCCCCTCCCTTCCCCCAGCTAGAACCTACTAGAGAGGAGGGAGAGGATTTCCCTAGGTACCTTCTTCCATGCAAACATTTACTTCATATCTCCAAGCCTCCCCCTCCCCTAAGCCCCAGTTTTCAGGTATCTATATCCTCTGCCTCTCTGCCTCTGCTAAGTCTGAGGCTCAAGCAACCCTGAACATACATGGGACACTTGGGGAGACAGGCTCATATAGACATATTCTGCTGACTCAGACACAACCCTGGGGTGAACTGGGGCTGCACCCACCTTTATTCTCACACTAAACAGCAGCAGTCACATTTTCACAGGGTCAGGGACCAACACACTCATACTAACATTCTCCTTCCAGGGCTAGCCTGCTCCCACCCATGCCCCCTGACTCCACCAGTCCCACCTCCTTTCCGAGCCTTAAGTACCTGGCAGGTCAGGATGGGGATCCAGCGGCAAGAAGTCTCCTATCTAGCCCCGAGGAGGTCCTGCAGGTGCACTGTCCCGGAGCCTTTCATCACCAACAGGATGGCTCGAACTCAGGTTTCCTGTCCAGCGTCCTCCACTTAGCTCCCTGCGGTTCCTGCGCTGCGTCTCCGCGGGGCTTCCTCGGACACCCGCCAACAGCGTGGTCCAGGCAGGGGGTTGTTATTCCAAGCAGACAGCTCTCGGTCCGCGTCTCTGTTCCCCTGGCCCGGGCTCGATGCCACAGTACGGCGCCACATGTAAGGTGAGCGGCGAAGGCCCATGAGCAGCCCCGAAGCCCGGCCCACTGTGTGGTAGCGGGGGCTTGCCACGTGCTTGTACCAAGCACCGGCAGGCAAGCTCAGGAGCAGCAGCAGCAGCAGCGACCTCCAGGACACCCCGAGAGTGGTCGGGGGCCCTAGCCCGGTCCTACCCACGAGGAGCGCCAGGGCGCCGGCTCCTCCTCTCCCAAGCACCGGTGAGCCCGGCTCTGGGTGGACGCCGACGGGGCTGCCGCCGCCGCGGAACCAAGAGGTTCCACAGGAGTGAAGCCTGGGGATGCCCTGAGTGGGCAAGGGGTGCACCTGGGTGCTGCCTTGGGTGTGCAGAGGAGCTAGAGACTCCCCCGGGCTTTGCAAGGGGTACGCTTGAGAACTGCCCGGGGTTGGCGAAGGGGATGAGGCTGAGATAAGCGCGTCCCTGGGGTCCACAGGAGGTGAATTTGAGAGCAGTCGTAGGCAGGGAGTGAGGCTGTGAGCTTCCTGGAATCAACAAGGGATAGGCTTGGGAGCTTCCTGGGGTTTGCCGGGATAAGTCTGGAAGCTGCTTGGGGTCGACAGACGGTGCAGCCTGGCGCTGCCTCGAGTCAGCAAGGGGTCTCTCTCAGAGCCGACAGAGGTCTCTGCTGGAGACCTCGACTGGGTCCAGCTTGGGTCGGTAAAGGGTGCAGCTAGGGTCTAGTCAGGGTCGCTCTGGCCTAGGTCACAGTCTGGGGGCTCGAGACTGGGATTTCGATGCCAGGGATCAGACTGCTTCTTCACGTTTGGTGCTGGAGCAGGCTCAGCTGACAGCAGGGGAGCAGAGGATGTCACTGTATGAGATCCGGCTCCACTCAACTTATAACCGAGCGCTGAAAGGGAGGAGGGGGCGGCATGGCAGTGGAGGCACGCCCCTTCATACTACTGTTCTGTTTCATTTGGAGTCCCACTCTGGGAGATGAAGAGTCGCCCCGGGGATTTGGGGATATTCTGGCGAGAGGCCAGGTGGTGGAGAACTTGGAAGGGGGAGGTGGGCGGCTTGTCATCTCTCTCTCTCTCTCTCTCTCTCTCTCTCTCTCTCTCTCTCTCTCTCTCTCTCTCCCCTTTTTCTTTTTCTCCTTCTTCTTCTTCTTTTTCTTTTTCTTCTTTCTTCTTCTTCTTTCTTCTTCTTCTTCTTCTTCTTCTTCTTCTTCTTCTTCTTCTTCTTCTTCTTCTTCTTCTTCTTCTTCTTCTTCTTCTTCTTCCTTCTCCTCCTTTAGCCCTCTCCTTCTTCCTAATGTTGATTTCTTAATCTTATAGGACTCAGTTCTCCCCTTCCTCTCCCCTCCTAGTCCTTAAACTAGGTGAGACTGGATTTCCCTGAGGCACTGGAACCTGGCCCTCATCTCCCTTCTTCTCCTGACCCCCAAGTCTTTAGTTGTAGTCCCATGTACCTCTTTGATTCTGCTCCAGACAGTTGCAGTTCACAAGCTGTGCTTGTGTTCTGACTTTCAGATAGTCAAAGACCTGGGCTGTTAATTTAAATCAAACATTGGTTAGGGAGATAGGATGTCCTTACAACCCATTTTATATATGTGTATATATACATATATATATACACACACACACATACACACTATACCATACTGTAATAATATAGACTATATATTACATATAATTCTATATGTAATAATGTAATTGTTACTTAATATAATGTAACTACATAATAATATATACTATGTAAAATATGTACTATGTAATCTGTACTGTGTAATTTTATGTAGGCTTCTACCTTTCTCTGGGTCTTGATTTTCTCATTTGTGAAATAAGAAGATACTAAACCTACCCTTAGTTCTGGATTTAGGAATTCCCTCTGAATCCTCTATAGGCTCCTCAGGACAGAGGTGTTGAGGTACCAGACTAAGTCATTTCTCAGGGCTGTTCACTTCACTCAGGTCTAGACATGTTCCTTCCAAGTTAAGTCAGTTTCCCTCAAGCTTAGTCACTGTTCCCTTGGACCACGATGCCTCTCCAGGACACATCCCTCTTCCTGGCAGGATGTTGTTGACTAAGACACATCTACCATAAATTCAAGAACACAACTTGCAGTGTACCTGAATAGAAAGTCCATGGTTCAGGCCACAGCTATCTCCTCTCCCATGGGAAGGGTTCACAGGGAAGATGCCCCTCCTCACTCCAGTTCAGTCCCAGACTCGTCTGCTGAATTCTGGCCCAGTTGGCTCTTTTAAGAAACCATAGGATCTGGCACCTGATTGACATCCAATGACAGCATCAACATCATTCAGATGGGAATGGAGGCCAGGAGCTTCAGGGCACATGGCTGCTCTGGGGCACACAACTTGCAAAATGCTTCCTCCCTAGACCCTAATATCTCAGAATGTGTCACCAAACACCCCCTCTTGTACCTAGTCCCTGCCTGACACAGAAATCTGTCACCTGCCTCAGGGAAAGAGTTGTTATTGTTTGTCCTTCCTTCTCAAAGGGAACCATGCATGACATCAGGAGGACTGAAAATGGCCCCAGATGCAGTGGGAGACCTTGGCCTTTTTAAGCTAAGGTCTTTCTCAGGTCTCAGTTTGTCGAGGCTATGCCCATTCAATGATTAAGGCTAGGTAAAAATGAGGCAAAGAAGGGGAAGGAAGTGTGCTATTGAATGACTCTAATACTGTTTCTGAGCCAGAAGTCCCAGGGATAAATTAGTCCCTGCCTACTGCTCCTCAACCATGAGATTCTATAGGCAACGGTGGGGGTGGGAGGAGTAGGGGGGCAGTGTGTGGGGAATAGAAGAGAATTTTGTCCTTGAATTCCTTGGGCAACCTTTCTTTGCTACAGTGGAGTCCCAGCTGAAGAATGAGCTCTTCCTCAGCTCACCCCACCCCCTCAACACACACACATACACCCCAGTCAGGCTTAGGGAAGATAAAACAATTCAGCATGTCAAACTGCTTTAAAACAAAATCCCAAGTGTTGTATTTGTCACATGGAGGGGAGCAGAAGCTGTATACAGATATCAGCCTCAAGCTATTACACAAGCAGATACTTACATACACAAAGCACAGGCAGCTATCCAGACGAAGAGAGATGTAGAGATTCACAGAAATATGCCGACCACATGCTGGCCCTGTACGTACACACATTTATTCTTTCCTTTTTACATCTGCAATAGATCTTGCAACTGCCCCCTTCTTTGCACCTCCTTCCTAGTAAAGACCCTCATTGTTTCTTCTTTTTCTTCTTATCTTCTTCTTCTACTTCTACTACTACTACTACTACTACTACTACTACTACTACTACTACTACTATTACTTCCTCTTCCTCCTCTTCTTCTTCTTCTACTTCTACTACTACTACCACTACTTCCTCTTCCTCCTCTTCTTTCTTCTTCTTCTTCTACTACTACTACTTCTTCCTCTTCTCTCCTCCTCCTCCCTCTTTTTCTTCCTCCTCCTGTGAGGAAGATCCCACTGATGCCATTAACCAGCACAAGAGTTTTGACAAGCTCTATTTCTGACCTGGCCCAGTACACTCCTCTTTATGCAAGGGATCACTATATTGGTGCTAGCCTTAGTGTCAACACCCAATCAGTTTAGCCTACTGCAGCTCAGAACTCCTGAGCTCAAACAATCCACCTACTTCCTCGGTAGTAGAGACTACAAGAGTAAGCCCAGGAGCCATCACACCCTTGCCTATCTTCTTCTAATTGGCTTTGCTACAACTAGTTTCATCCCTTCTCCAATCATCATTACACAACTTCCAGAGTAATCTTCCTGATACAAAAAGTCTGAGCACATCATTCATTTGCTAAAAACAAGCCTTCATTGGCTCCCTATTGCCTATAGAGTAAGGTTCAGACTCAGGTTGGCACCCAAAGGCCTCCACAATTTGACTCCCAACCTGCCTTTTCAATGGTATCTCCCCTCTGGAATCTTTAGTTCCAAGCAAATTAATCTCCTAAAGAACTAATCTCCCTTTCTGGCACTGTCCCCCCTGCTAGAAATGTGTCAGGTAAGAGTTTGGACCATTGAGCTTCCTTCTAGTTATGAAGTTATATAATTCTACCTATCAACCAACAAGCAAACATCTTATGCTGGGCACCATGAGTTGGAGAAGCCTGAAGATGAAATGATGCCAAAGACAAGGAATACTGATCTGGGAATCGGGGAACCTAGGTCCTGGTTTTGGTTTTCCCCTGGTCCACTGTGTGACTTGGGGCAAATTGCTTTCTTTCTCTGAGCCTCAGTTCTCCCACTTAGAAAATGAAGGCATTTGGAGGCATCTAGGTGGCGCAGTACATAGAGCTCTGGCCTTGGAGTCAGGAGGACCTGAGTTCAAATATGACCTCAGACACTTGACACTTGCTAGCTGTGTGACCTTGCGAAAGTCTCTTAACCCAGATTGCCTCACCTAAAAAAGCTAAAAAAAAAAAAAGAAAGAAAGAAAGAAAAGAAAATGAAGGCATTGGCCAAATGATTTCTAAGCTCCCTTTCAACTCTGACGTCCTATTCTAAGGTGGTAAAATGAAAGTTGCGGAAAAGAGTGGGGAATGATCATTGGTAAAACAAGGTCCCAAAGGAGACAGGAATAGAAGTGGAGGAGTTATCCAGTCTCTGAGACAGGAGAGAAGGAATAAAAAATTGTTGAAGACACAAAAGTTCTGAGGTCGGGATAAGACTAGAGGGTATGTCCTAGGGTATGTATGGCAGCTCTAGGAGAGTATTAAAAACAAGAGGGGAGCCCCATTAACCTGCCTCCTCCCATTTTCAAGGACCCCAGGGAAGTTGTGGATCGCCTACAGCCAAGCCCAGAGTGAACTCAGAGAAAATCCATTAGCATCAAGTGCCAACCCACCACCACTCTTCACTGACAGTGGGCCTCTCTCCTCACCCTTTCCTGCTGCCTTTGGGACACAGAAACCTTTTTGAGAGTCTATGATTAAGGATGATGGCTTGGAGCAGGTGAGGAGGCAGAGGAAAGGGCCATCACGAAGTAATTACAGATAGCACCCCTACCTCCCCTTGGGCTGATTATTAGCATTCCAGTGGTCCATTACTGAATTTGCTAGTCCATCAACATCCACTGTAGTTGAGTGGGGCCTTTTCTATTTTTTTAATGTTCTCAAAAAAGTTGTTCAAATTTTCTTTCTTACTTAAGTTTAGTGAGACAGAATATTCTATGATTCTGTGACTATGATATTGGTAGTGGAGGAGAGGGGGAAAGACAAAAAGGTCAACAGCGTCTGGGAACATCCAATCTCTTGAGATAAGTAAAAATGTGAAGTTTTAATTCCTTTTAATTTCTGAGAAAATGTTTAGCTACTTTTGAGGCATCTCAGTAGTTTATTTTACATCTTTTTATTTCATGCAATTGCAGGGAGACTGAATTTTTTGATGGCTAAAATGCAAATCAAAGCATTCAAGCTTTGCTAATCACAGATATGCATAATAAAGATAAGATCCCTGCCTAGAAAGGTAGAGAATACTGACCTTGCCCACTGAGCCTACTTTTCCTTC